AGTCAATTTTGAGTTAACCACACTCATTTCATTTGATAAAATTGACTGTTGAGTTTTAAAGTGTGCATGTATTTTAAAAAATGTTTTATTTAGTAAAATTTTAATAACTAAAATGAATTTAATTAATCAGGGACTAAGCCAAAGGTTATTAGGTTTTCATTGCTGTATTTGATTTAATGTTTAAAATGAAACATTTTTTTGCAAACATAAGGTGTTTTTAAAAAAGTGCTGTTAAATTTTTTCAGTATTAGCTGAACATAATGGAAATATGACACATAACACTTATTTCACTGACAAAATATTCACATCATAAAATATCATAAGCAGTAAAACGTCCCGAATGTGTTTGCGTGATTGATAAGAAGTGTTTTATAATGGTTTTGACAGGCCTTGTGTTTGTAAGTCGCTGTAATTGTGCTTTGGTGGACTGTCAGAGGCTAAGGGCGGCTGTTGAACTGCTGGATTCAGTGGATGCCTGCGTTTCAGCACTGCAGAATTCAGCTCAGGGGGTCCAACAAAAGACATACTGTAAAACAGCCACCCACCATATGACAGCTATGACATGAACAATAAATACGGATTTCTCGCCGGCACCAGTATGGAATGAAAGATTAAATGCAAAGAACCCCTTTTAATCCAATGCCAGGTTCCCTTTTCCCTCTCTGTCCCTAGCTGCTGAAATACCCAGGAAATAAACACACACACACACACACACTGCTGTCTGGCACTGTTCATGGATCTGCTTCAGTCTAGCACTTCAAATGCAACACACATACACACTTAGGTGTTTGTGTGTCCTCATAGGTGGAATATATCTTTCTATCTGTCTGGCTTGACATTCATTCATCCGCACAGATATTTTCTCTCTGAGACATGATGACATGTACAAAAGCGAAATGGAGAATTGTGCTCGAGGCGATCTGGAGCTTCTGACAGCCTGTCTCGCTCTGAGGTTTGTTTATGCTAGTTAAAATGTGGTTATATTACAAAGTCCCTTTTGATTTGCTGCATTACGATAGATTTTACAGATCAAGGCCCTGAAATACATGTTGTGCCGTGAAGATGCCCGTGTGCGGACCCTCTATTGAAGAGGCCTGTCTATGCCTGTCTGCTGGGCCACCATTTACTCTGGGTGATTGATGTCAGCTATTCAGCATGTAAGTGGTGGCTTCACACCTCTTCCACGGCTTTTAATTTCAAATGGCCATCTCATTTTTTTCCCCCAATCCTTTTTGCTACCTCCTTTCAGTGGCTCTTGAAAGTTGAGATACATGTACAAAAAGAGGAAATAATAATGCTAGGTGCCTTTTTTTGAATTACAGAGTGCCTAGAGAGCAGAGCCGAAAATGCAAGTATCTTTTCATTCAGTCATAATAGGCTAAAGTGTTTACATATCTGAAGGGTAAGGGCCAATCAAAGTGTCAAAATAATGTGAGAAGTTAAATGGTTTAATGCATTTTTTTATTTAAAAAAATAATATAACCTGATCTCTCTCTCGCTCACACACACACACGTATATATGCATACGTGTGTATGTATATGTGTGAGATACAGTTCAGTATATATATAGAGTTGAAGGGAGAATTATTAGCCCCCCCTCCTTTTTTTTTTTTTTTTTTTGCTTTTTAAAATATTTTCCCAAATGATGTTTAACAGAGCAAGGAAATTTTCACAGTATGTCTGATAATGTTTTTTCTTCTGGAGAAAGGCTTATTTTTTTATCTCGGCTAGAATAAAAGCATGTTATTAATTTTGTAAACATCATTTTAAGGACAAAATTATTAACCCCTTTAAGCTATTTTTTTCTCCATAGTCTACAGAACAAACCATCATTATACTATAACTTGCCTAATTACCGTAACCTGCCTATTTAATCTAGTTAAGCCTTTAATGTCACTTTAAGCTGTATAAAAGTGTCTTGAAAAATATCTAGTCAAATATTATTTACTGTCATTATAACAAACATAAAATAAATTAGTTATCAGAAATTAGTTATTAAAACTATTATATGTTTAGAAATGTGTTGACAAAATCTCTCCGTTAAACAGAAATTGGGACAAAAAAATAAACAGGGGGGCTAAAAATTCTGACTTCAACTGTGAATACACACACAAACACACACACATGATTTACTCTATAAAATCAAGTTATTCATACCCCAGAAATGCATCATTGTGGAAAGCATACTTCTCAGCTTTTAATAAACTTTAAGTCGGAATTTGCCAAGGGTATAAATATTTTCAGACTTGACTGTGTGTGTGTATGTGTGTGTATGTATGCGTGTGTGTGTATATATATATATATATATATATATATATATATATATATATATATATATATATATATATATATATATACACACTTTCTAACAATGCAAAGCTAAAATTGTTTCCGCATATTAAGCACCTTGTTTCCGTTTTAATCATGCGACAAACATGCAATTACTTAAACAAAAGGCACCTATTGAAACGTAATTGCCGCTCGTAATAAGGCAAACTTCCACCCGTAAATCGCCCTGTCTTTAGACATTTATTCCTGTGATAACTTTTGATTCTTGATAGGCCAACGCAATCGAGATTTGCATTAGCCTTTACTGTTTCATTAGCGTCTAGTGCATAGCCTGTCTACACAAACTTACCATATTCAGAGTCACCTTCGTTATGTGTAATTTTGCCTCGTCCTATACTGCTGCAACAATAAAGCTGATTGCCTTAAAACTTACTATACATAAACTTTGGATGATAGATTAACTCCATGATACCAATTTAAAACACGGTACTTCATTTCCCACGACAGCTTAAAGGCCATTTAAATAGCAAATGTGTCACGCATAAGAGGTTTCCGTATTTTATTTGAATTTTTTAAAATGTAGCATATTTAACTAATATAGCTAACAGACATATTAATATAGTTTTATAACAATGAGGTCCTTGATTGAGAACCACTGTCTGAGAAATGTTTGGCAGGTTCATGAGTTGGATTTGTCACAATGCATTTTTTTCTTCTGGTCAGTGATTGTTTATAATTATTAACTGATATAAATTCTATAAATTTAAATCGATTTTTAACAGATGATGAGTGCAGTGTGTAAACACAATATGACTGTTATTTTATTCATTGTTTAGATATAATCAACCGTGCCATGCCACGGATATCCTCTGGTTTTCCAATAAACATTCAGACATTACAAATGTGCGATATTGGTGATAAATTGAATCGCCAATGTCACCGAGCAGCGTCTTCCTTCATGCAAATTCCATTTGATCAAGCAATGTAATTGCAATAAGTATGTTTTAGAGCTGGAGAATAGGGCCGCTAATGGTCGTTATCTTATCACAGCGAGGGTCATATGTTCGTTGAGCGTGTGCTTATTGGAGGTGTTGTAAGTTAACACGCGCGATTTCCTCCCTACCGTGAATCCGCTCGTGATGGAGTAAACACGCTAATCTGCTCAGCATTATCTCCCGTGGACAGAGCGCGACAGTCGTGTCAGACCGACCGTTCTGCAAATAACATGCGCTATTAAGCAATTTAAGATATAGTCTCTGGTAATGCAGCGGAATCTGTGGACATCAGTTCAGGCGTTTTGCATCATGTAATTTAGTCCCTCATTTGAACAATAAATAAATAAATAATATAGGCTATCACCTAGGAGTGCTGTAATATTTTGTTTCACGATTGAAACCCAGTGATTTTGCATCAAGGGCCGTCAAACTTTGCTATAATACCCTATTGGTAGAGCTATATTATGTGCTACAAATAAGTGTAGTTAAAAAAAACAAACTGTAAATTATTGTCATATAAAGAGTGGCCGGGGAATCACTTTTAAAAACTTGCTGCGACAAAAATGACTTAAATGCTGTGCAATTAATTGTGTGCAAATAAATGTACTCTTTACAATATTTACGCCATCATTTTAAACATATTGATTAAAAACGATAAACATGTAGAAACATGGCAAATTAAACTGTAAACAACTAGCTACAGAAATACATAAACCCGACAATGTGTTAGTATTTGTCATCCTTAAAAATAGCCTATATTGACTATGCTATCTTTCGCATTTTTTGTGTCTGTGTTTTAAATAGATGTACATTGCAAAATGCTTTAAGCTCCAAGTCTACTCTCATTATACTTTTACATTGTTACATGGATTAATTGCTTTGAATATTAGACAATATATATTTTTATTATTAGCCATATGCTATATTTTTAAAGAACACTGCTGATTTCAATCAGCTGAAAACATGCCTGTGATTTAAAATTTAATAACATTTATTTTAAAGAAAGTACGAAATGATCTCTCGTAGGTAAAAAATATTATTATTATGGACACTTATAACTTTTTTTTCACCTCAAGACAATGGTAGACATTTAATTGTTCTTAGGTGTTACAAATTGGTTTAATCGATTCCGTGTTACAACACTTGTTGAAAAATAAATGGTCTGATAGGGTCGTCTCTAGGTTAGAGAGCGCATTGTTTTTATACCTTTAAAATCAAAATAAAAACGAAGATCGAAGCTCACCTGCTCGAACTCAGAATGTGAGTTTGGAGAAACGATGAAGTCTATCTTCTTCTTTTATCCACAGGACAAAAAACGCATTTCACACAAAGTATGTTAAAGCTATATTACTGGCAATAAATGAACTAAAATTTATGCTATATATTTATATATATTTAAAAGAGGGAATAAAAATAAACAGCTATTGTGAACCAAATAATGTGACTTTGTTGACAATTAATCTGATTGACTCATGCGGACAGCTTTTTAAAAATGCAAACTGGAACTAAATTATTTGTTTCAAAAGTCAGCAAATAACTTAATCAAATTAATTCTCAATACACAGATCGGTGGTTTTCACGCCATTGTGTGCTAACCCTAAGTCCAGCCAATCTCTTATTGGAGAAGTCATTCACAAATCCTTCAATGACGTCAGCGGGGTATAAAGCAGAGCAGGAGGTTCAGCTCAACACAAACGAGTCTCTGAATCTGTTGCGCGCGGTCACTCTTACAACAGGAAACAAACAGAATTCGCGGTTTTTGTCACTATGAAGGACACTCGTGCTTTTTAAAAGGACTAAAATAACACGTTATTACCGTTGGCAACAAATCTCACACATCTTTTCGCTTGTGATGCCCGCTGGGATGTTTAGTATCGACAGCATCTTGGCCGGGAGACCCAGCTGCAAAGACTCGGTTCTGCTCCACCGGAATGCCCCGGTTGTGTTCTCCAACTTGACGGAATCCTTGTACACGGCAGCTGGCGATTTTAATGGACTGTATTCACACACAGGACCTCCAGCGCCGAACTTACAATCGGTGAATGGAAGGATAGGCTACAACAACTACTACTATGGACAACTTCACGTCCAGGGGCCGACTGGACCAGCTTGCTGTGGCGCAATACCAACCCTTGGTTCGCAACAGTGTCCGTGTATTCATACAGGTATTTTTTTACTTTAATATCCTGCTTTGTATAGTTGGTATTTGTACATGTCCTTAGCTGTTGTTTGTTGTAGTTAATGTTCCAGATGTTTATTATACAGCATGATGGAATTTTGGAGCACATCTTAAAAATACATGCTTCAATTACAACTAAAAAGTTTTTTTTAGCAGACTTGAGTATTTTTTATAGGTTCTTCGAGAAAAGTAATTTTCTGTTTTGACTATGCTTAAAAGTAGCCTAATTATTAACGCAAGAACGCATACACCAGAAAAGATTTTTTATAAGAAAACGGCGGATTGCAGAACGCATCACGTTTTATGCATAAAATGTAGACATTTACAATATCTTAGAAATGTCAAATTGATACAGTGTACTCAAAAAAGTTGATCTTATTTTCAGGTTATGACAGCGCCGGCTCTGTGCTTATTTCTCCAGTCCCACATCAAATGATGTCGTACATGAACGTGGGCACCTTGTCCAGAACCGAGCTACAGCTGCTCAACCAGCTACACTGTCGGCGCAAGAGACGACACCGAACCATTTTCACCGACGAGCAGCTGGAGGCACTGGAAAACCTTTTTCAAGAAACGAAATACCCTGACGTCGGCACAAGAGAACAACTGGCACGAAAGGTGCACCTACGTGAAGAGAAGGTAGAGGTGAGAGAAACTGTTTTTTATATAACATTAACATTTTGACAGAGTTTACTTTACCACATTTAGCAGTGCATTTCTGACCAAAGTTCTTAATACACGTGTAATGCAGTGCATGTTGGCCTACATATTTTAGAATTATTTTGTGGCGCCGCCAATACTTTTTTATTATTAATTATTCATAGTGGTTAAACACATTTACATAGCGTGGACATAGGTTTTTTCTATTAATAATGTGGAAGGCCACATGCAGATTAAAAAACTGAATCTTACGAGCGCATATACCATCAATAAACAAATCAATAAATCAATCAATAAATTGATCAATCATTAAGATCAATAAAGAAATGTTTGATGAATTTTCGATAAAGAAAAAGTTTCAATTATATAAAGTATCAATTAAAGAAATTCTGACAGGTTATATAAATACTTAGGCTATAAAAAACAGCCATTTATTACTGTAAAGTTGCCTTTATTTAGCCAGAAACAGAATAACAAATCGAAATCGTGTTCGCTTGAGGGAGCCACCGTTCGCTTTCAGATAAAACCACCGTCAACACATTATGTATCACTTTATGTTTCTGTTAAGGCATACATTTCATAAAATCGTTAATGTTTTGTATATAACATATTTAAGATAGCAGAAGACTAGGCCACGGTGCCAGAAGCATGTTGAGTTAAAACAGAAAAATGCTGACAGAAAATGCAAGTCAAAGAATATTTCACAGTATTTACACTAAAACCAACTCAAGCTTTTATTTGACATTTGTATAATTTTATTTTTTTATCACGTCATAACCTTGAAATTAAGCATGTTACCCTCCTATTCTACGCGTAGGTTTGGTTCAAAAACAGACGAGCAAAATGGAGAAGACAGAAAAGGTCGTCGTCAGAGGAATCAGAAAACTCACAGAAATGGAACAAATCCACGAAAACAACCTCAGAGAAAATTGAGGAGGGCAAAAGCGACGTGGATTCTGACAGCTGATATAAAGAACACGAGAACGGGAAATCTTGCACAAATATAATTCGGACTTTATTGTACATATTGTAAAGTATGTGAGTTGGAGTAAATAGTGTTGTCTTGCTGTTGCACAGATGTATAGTAAATGTTACCTTTAACAATGATATTGTTATTTATATTAATTTAAATTTACAGACAAAATAACGTGGATTCTAGCCATAGTAATATTACCTGGTGTATACTGCAAACGTTTTTAAAGTCTTGTCGTGATAAGATGTACCTAAATCTGATGTTCTGGAATGGGCTGTAGCTGAAGACATGTACGATGGCAGGACGATACATTCGGACATTAATTAATTTAAAGTTTAATGTCGCCTGAAAACAGGAACAAATATTAAAGTAATATCTAAAAAAAGTTTGACTTTTCGTGTTTGTTTGAAATATTGCAAATTAAACTTCTCAATGAAGTCCTATGCTGATTTACCGCATTTGCTAAAGGAATAATTTTCTTCTCCATTACCATAGGGCTACATTTAATTAACATATAGTATGTAATAATTAAGACCAATTTCTTTTTTATTTTAAAATATCGCCTAAAAATAAATGATTGTGAAATTGATTCTTTAGATAAGTTAAAAAAAATCCCACCCTTTATAGGTTACTTCAAACCAGGCCACGCTGACCTAAAATCTGAAAATGATACTATCTGCATATCATGTTTTAACGTTTTTTTTTTTTTTTTAATAATCCATGGATTTAAACATGCAACCAAGCAAACCACATAATTTAATGATGGTGATGATTATTTTTATTATTTTAATTCTTCCTTGGTATTTATATGTAGCCTACCTAAATTATTTAATGTCTACACATATCCCCTGTTTCAAAGTAGGCCAAAAAAGGTCTAATGTTCAAAGTAAAATATCAAACGCCACTTTGATCACGTGTAATTTGCTGTAATTTTCCTTTGTGTTCCTTTGTGCATATTACATGGTGGTAAATGAAATTGCTGTTTACAGTTTGTTTCGTTAAAATTCAGTTCTTTAAAAATAGCCTATCATAGCTTTTTTTCTCCTCCAAATTTTTTTGACGCTCAAGTCAGTCTTGCGCTGTCACCAAGCTGGTCTGCGTCTATAGGCTCATATAGGCTTATATATTGTCCATTGAATTTCCCTAATGTTGGCCCGAAATTATGCTGTTTTGCGACAATTTTAGATAATTTACGACATGCAAGCATCATTTAAATAGAAAATTTTTAGTTTATTATATCCAGTTTTTTGTGTAACAGTTGGCTCGATTTAGGCTCGATTACTGTACTGGAAAATCTGGGTACATTCCTATTCAATGACACTCACTAATAGCATTTAAAGGCCAGATAAATACATCACCATTTTAGACCTACAATGCTGTCAGTGCATTTCTATTTATTTATTTATTATTATTTTTTTTTTTACAATAATACTAATAAACAAATTATTATTCTATAATGATGTTTGGCACTATCAAAATGTAGTTGTCTTCTCCTAAAACAAGCTAACGACTTCCATAAAACAGAGAAGTCAAAATTCATTAACCCTAGCAGCATTTCAGTTTCTGTGTTATCTCCTGCTAATGGGCCATAACATCTGTCCACAAGAGGGTGTGCTGGAGGAGTTATATGAAAACTACAAATACAGATGTGTGCGTTTGCTTGTGTAAAGAATGGACATGGATACTGCAATCATATAAATGAATAATTACAGCTTAGGCTGTTTAAAGGTATAAGCTACTTAAATAAAATTTGTGAGGTTGGCAACATGCCAGTGACTTTCCTGTAAACACTTTTTGGATTATACTGACAACTGTCTCTTGATGAAATACAGATCTTAAGCCTTGAAGGGCAACAGTGAGAGCTGAATATTTATTTGTTTATGTGCTTATGCATTTGGGCTATTTATCATAAAAAAATAAACATCCATACACAGCAAAATATGGGGACCCAAAACAACTCTATGGGTGTTAATTTCAACACTTTGAAAGTGTCTCATGGGGTCCACTCAAAACAAAGTTAAATCAACACTTTCAAAAGGGTTGGCACATTGACACCGAAGTAAGGGTTAATTTTAACTCTGGGCAGAGTTAAAAAATTTAACTATATTTAACACCGCCTGGTGTAATATATTGTTATTTTATTCAACTCTCTTGAGTGTAAATATGGTAAAAAGGTCAAATAGACTGTAAATTACAAAAGAAAAAACATTTTATTTGAAAACATTCACCACTTCAACAATTCATTCAGTTTTTGAAATGCAACAATGTCAAATATGCTTTAAATGTTTTATTAGTACAGACAGTATCAACAAAATATGTATGACCAGTGCTCAAAAAGGCTGTTTCAGTCCTTTGGTCCAAACTTGATGTGTTATCAGAGCAATTTGAAAGTTCAATATAGCGTCACTCATAGTTTACTTCTGAACTCATAGTTTTCTTCTGAAATTACATTTTAAACAACTTGGCTTGCAAATCTTTCACTTCTGGTGTTTCCTTGGTCCTCCATATCAAACAGAGCAGTTTAAATGAAGGTATAAATGCTGTAAACTTGTGTGAAAACAAACTGGAGCTAGGAAATCTCATCAAGCATGTCCTGTGAATGAAGTGCTTCCCAGCCACAGGATGACCTTTTTATCCATGACGATGTACAGTAGTAGCTGCTGATCGCTCGTCTGGTGGTTCCTGATGCATGGATATAGGGTGATGCTCATCTAAGAATTCTTCAAGACTCCAGCATGACTAAGAAAAATGTTTGAAAACAAATTGCAATCAAATTCTATAATATATTTAAAAGAACATTTAAAGTAAATAAAACATTCAAGAAATCTAAACTCACCTTTTGAAAATCTTCATGATGATCCACAACTTGACTCTCCCAGCTGGTTGAGGTGACAGGATATGGAAAAGTAGAAAAAACACATACATCACTGTTGGATCTCCAAAAACAATTAGGTTAACCACTATGACTAGAACTGGAAAAACAGGCAGCTGTCTGTCCAGAATCCTGAATTTAACACAACACTTGGAGCAAAATTTAGAGGAGCTTAAAATCTTTTATATCATTTAGTGATGCTGATTTCCCCAAAATATTGGCCACAGTGTAAAAAATATTCATAAACTTCATAAACAACAGTTTTCTGTAAGCGTGTGCGTGCATGCGTGTGTGTGCGTGCGTGTTTCTTTACCAGATTCAACTTGTTAGGCCCTTTCAGGTCCAGTATTGAGGCCACCTTTACTGGAGTCTAGCAGATGTTTCAGGTCCAAATATAACCTAAAATATTAGGATAAGCAGAAGAGGAAAAGTGCAAAGTAAAGAGCAAAACATTATTTAAGTAACAGTTCACCCACAATACAAAACTTATCACCTTCATGTCATTCGTTAATCTTTAATGCTCTAATACCCTCTCAGCTTATTGTGAAACAAATACAGAACTTTATCAAACATACCTTCATTATTATCACCACATATGACCAAGAAGGTGTGCTTGGTCATTTCACCAACTCTGGAAATACACCATCCGTCTCTAATCAGCCACCGTCACAGGGTCTTTTGTTATTGTATAGAGAACTGTGGCTGTTAAAAAAAACAACAAAAAATTAGTATCTAACACATATGCATAACCTTCAGATAAAAGGAGAGATGAACATCACAAAGTATGCCTCACACTTTTTCAGATATCTTTTGATTCAGATGTTGATTATTGATAATAAATCTACAAATCAAACCTGTATCATCATTAGGTTGCTCAAATATGAATCAGTTGATTAATTTTACAGACGGGTGGCTGTTTACAACGCACTAAATTGTCTTTAATAAAAAGGAAATGTTGTGTACAGTACATGCTAAGTTTAGCCTATAGTTTTAAGCACAATATCATGCGGGAGAAAAAGCTTGACTAAGATGTTCCTGACTACAGAAATAGCCTAACTTACTAACGTCAGACATCCCGAGTTGGGAAAAGTAATTTTCGGGGGATACAGAGTTGATTTGCGGGAGGTAGCGGGAGAAATGAGTACCTAAAGAACAATGGGATAAGTTGCGCGCGACGTACCTAAAGAGCGGTGGGGGTGACTTGCGCGCGACGTACCTGAAGAGCTGGGAGGGATGCGGTGGAGAGGGGTGTGCAAAGTGTTTAATGACCGGGCGGGAGACGCGCGATTTCCGGGAGATTATCATTCATTTGCGGGCATCTACTTGGGCATCTGGGAGTCTCTGTGCATTTGCGGGATAACGTTAATGTTAGTCCCACAACTTCCGGGAGACTTCTGTAACCTTAAAAGTCTGAGAAAGTGCAAACGCGGTCATTTAAAGACATTAATGTTAACATTCCGACTTTAATGGTTGTAAACGCTTAATATAATTCAAACGTACGTTATCACGCGAGTCTATCAACTAACGGTATATGGACGGCCACGAATGAACCAGTTTAAAAGGGCCGCGGTGTTTAAAACAACCAAATTAACGTACACGAATAACAAACAATCATATGTTTTAGTCAGGAAGCCTTTTACAAGTAAGCATATGTTCATTTACTCACCAGAAATGTTTTAGAAACTCTCCAGAGCTTATGGAAACCGTCCTGTGTTGCCGTTAGCATCTGGGCAGAGTAGGCTAAGGTTAGGCTGCTCCGGTGATTCCCTCGCTAGTTTGCTTCGAATTAAAGGAAGAAGTGTCGATTTTATTTTACAGATGGGTAACAACGCACAAAATGGCATTAAGCGTGACAGAAATGTGTTGAACATGTACATTTGATGTTTTTATGCACTATGTATGCGTGAGCATATATAAAACATTCTTGAAAAGAAGTGAATAGTAATGCAGTTAAGCTAGATACACAATCGACCATGAATGAACCGCAGAAGATTAAAATTGTCACTCCATTCTAAAGTTATTAACTTAACATTATGTTTACAACTGTATTTCCTTAGAGAAAGTCAGTAAAATACCAACATTTAGGTAGTTTGACTCACCAGTTGCTGTTCTAAACCTCAGATGGAAAATGGCGTCTGGAAAATTCTTCAGTGACTGGGGCTGCATGAATTCCCGGATGTTGGAAATAACACCACCAAGTGTAGAAAAGATAACTCCTTGATTTCGCACTGAATAAAATCAATTCTAACTCTTATTATATTCATTTATCAAAATCTAACTCTTTAACGTCAACACTTTACTCTGAAATGCTTCAACACCGAGAATTTAACTCAGATGAATTTGCTGTGTACTCAGTCTGAAAGTATATTGACTCAGGGCAGCATGTTTTTCCAGACATGAAGCTGATTAAGTGAGATGTTTTTTACTAAACACTCTAGCCTTCGAAGACTTTGGAAGTTTCTTAACAATTTGTCATTCCTTCAGTAAATAGTTAGTGGAAGGATTTTAAATCA